TTTCTAGACATACTTTTTCCCATTTTCCTTTCATAGAATGAACAGAGGTCATTTCTTTATTGTGTGAGTCTCATTTAACCTCAGGTCAATTAAATGGCCTATGAAGCAGTCGGCAATGGATGCTCCTCCATATCAGTTATCTAATGTCTAAGAACAGACAGATTACCTAATGTTTTTGTGGTTGGTTGCTCTATGGCGCGTGATATACAACTAAAATTAAATGCTTGTTGTAATGGTGTGGCAACACTCAAAATAAATAGGAAAGTAATGGTTTTGCGACCTAATCAGATGACTTTACCTATGATCAATAAATCTAACGCTGGGAATAAAAAAAAAAAAAATCCGTGAAAAAACCAGTAACAGTAAGACTATTCAGTTTAATCTCTAATTCTATAAAAATAACTACTTACCGTCATGAGGCAGGCGAAGACATTCTTTCGATGAACTACTTGGCTCCTGACAGTAGCAAACAGTTTCCGTTTCATTCACAGGGTTAATGCCACACTTTCCCTTGGAGGCATTGCACGTCTGACAGTACCCTTCATCATCCACCTTCCATTCTACTTCGAATCCATCTTTTAGGGCTTGTTTGATCTTTTCTATGGAGAAATAGAAATCGTCACGAACCAGGACGGTGGCACTGGCAGAACAACCCATAGGACCAGTATCTCCTGGTAGGATAAAACCCATGGTAGGATTGTCTTCATAAAGTGATTTTGGATCGCACTCGAAGTTTAGAGGTTCATGGATTGGAGATTTTGGATTGAATTTTGGGGGAGGGGGATTGAACGCCGAGGGACAGCCATAGAGTAATGTAATATTTACATAATCTGGAGCACTGACAAAGAGAGTGGCATCAAGGTACGTGTTCTGGATATTCTGGATATTCTGAGGACAAATTCCACCCTCATAGTCCTCCCTCGCAATCTTCTGTTTTTTGTCTCGCTGATTAATTTCCAGAACTCGATATCGAACACGGACAATTTCTAAAATAGCTGTCTCATTTTTCTCACACTTGAGTTGAAGTTTTGGATGGCCACAATTAGGCAATCTTCGATCTCCTCCCCAGAATGGAAAGCCTGCAGAAACATTCCCACACTCGAACTGATTACCGCAGATTCTGTACCATTCGGGGTTGCTTGATGACAAGGGAGTCTCAGATAAAACCAAGAGTATCACAACAAAAAGGAGGAAGTAGTTCATATTATTGAACCAATGGGGACGAGGAACTGGAGGGATTGATGGGTGAATTTCAAGAAGTGGTTGGTCAGGACTCCGGAGGGAAAATAAGAACTGATATAGGATGCAAGTGCCTGAATGAAAAGCAAGGCTGTGAAGATAATTCAAAGAAACTGCTAGACAATGCATTTGGTTGACTTAAACGACTTGGACTTTCCAACTTCTTTGCATCAATTTATTCTGATAAGTAATAATAGTTCATTTCTTGAACCAATGGAGATGAGGAACGGGAGGGATTGATGGGTGAATTTGGAGAATGATATAGAATGCAATTGCCTTAATGAAAAGAAGTCTTCTACTGTTATATAACAGAAGGAAGACTGGAAGTACTGAAAATTAGAAGAGGAAGAAGAAAAACTCATCGAAGTGTGAGTAGTCATTCCTCACGGTCACCGGCTTCGGAAAAAGCAGGCCATGGAAAGCGAGACTGTTTTACGCGCTTTGCGTCCTCTCCACGTAGACTGAAGTTTCCACCTATACTTGCGGCAGACGGGTTAATCCCTAACGTGACGTTCCTTCGTAGTCAACATCGGACCGGTAAAGCACAATTACCAGATCCATCCGATACAAACAGGG